CATGGCTACAATTGTTTTGATCCCTAGATAATGGGATCAGGTAAGAACATGTCTGTTCACAGAATGCCATAGGGTAGAGTGGCCTGTCGTCCTTCCCCAGACTAGGACTACACACAGAGAGACACACAGACACACAAATGTTGAACTTCAGACTTATGCTTGTTCTGGCTCCACTTTCACACTCATTCATAGAAAATTACTCAATATTGCTTAAACTATCGTAGTTAGTAGGTATCAATAACCCTTATTCTACCACGGAGCCTTCATGGTCCCATCAAACTGATTTTCCTCTAATGGTAGGCTGATGATAAGATTATTACCAGAATCATCTTTCTCCTGCATTATTCTGTCAGTAACCCTATGGCAGACTAGGACTATACACAGAGAGACATACAGACACACAAATACTGGAACATCAGACTTATGCTTGTTCTGGCTCCGCTTTCACACTCATTCATAGAAAATTACTCCCTTAAGTTGCTCTTAAAACTCCAATCACTCATTCCTCTGGCAAGAAGTGAGGGCATATTTGTGCAGCAACAATAAACGAAACAATCCATTTGTACTGCATTTCTACTTGTATGTTTCTTGTGCTATCTTATCTACAGGAGACCTGTAGCAGTTGGAATGAATCATTTTAGTTTGATAGTTAACCTGCTTGAATCTTGCCTGTGTAGGAAACCCTATCATGCATAAAGTTCACTCCATCTTTTTTCTTAAAAAAATAATAATGTATATATGTGTGTGTGTGTGCTTGTTTTGTTGGTGAGGTGGGAAGTGAGCCTTACAGTAGACTCATTACTCTAAACAAGACTTACTGTGGCTGACGGTCAATATTCTTCTTTTTGAATTATCTTTATTGAAGATAATAAGGCCAAAAGCTACCACCCCACTTTTAATTGGATTAGTGTTTCTTTTGCCCTTGAAATAACAAATAGGTGCATCTCTGTAACTCTAGAACTGACATCATCTCTCAGATTAACATAATTTAAAAATTAAGGCTCATTTCTGCAGGTATAATTAGCCCATCCCAGTGTCCCAGTGCTACGAAGAGACCTAAATCACTTTCCCTGTAGCCACTGTAGATTCATAAATTCTGCTTACCCTTTGCCAATCCACACAGAACCCTAAACTATCACATGGTGCAATTGTTGGACCTAGTGTGCTGTGTGAACTCATTCATTATGTCTTATGAACAATCAAAGGGTTAAACAGTCCTGATTTGACCTTGGGTGAACCCAGTCTCTTCCAAGGCTAGCTGCTTTTGGGATGAACAATCGCCCAGACACTCTTTGAAAACAATTCTGAGGTACTTTGTGAGTATAGCAACTATTCAAGCAGCCTGGGGTTGTTGTTTTTTGTCAAACTTCTGCACAAGACTGAGAAAAGGAAGTGTTCTGCTTTAAGAGCTGTATTAATCTAATTATTGAAGAGTTATTTCATGATACTTCGTTAAGTCATGATCTTGCAGAGTGCCTGGTTCACTTTGCCCTTTTGCTCTTGCATTTATAAATGCAACTTATAAGCCTATTTTTGTATTGTTGTGCTGATCAAAGGCATTCCTCCAACTCTATTTTGGGCTGAAGGTTAACTTGCTCTACCTTTGCTTCTGCATATAAACTTTGCTACCCTGTCCTCAGCCCCACCAGTTCTAATAGTTACCATTGTGCTACATGCATATTATGCACACATACACACACGCTCACCCACACGCCTGCTTCAATAGCAGCGCACAGCACTATATGCCATTTACGAAAATACATAATTGAAATAATCACAGCCTAAACGTGTGCTTAAGAACATACGCTTTGCAGTCATCAACGGAGTTGTTTTGAAAACTAGAGTCCTTAAATGTTTTTCATAGTTGGAGTCAAGAGCTCTGAATTTGGTATGACTGTACCACAAAAATGAAAACCCGTGGGGGATTTGTACCGGATTAAACAAAACTCTGAATATTACTTTTCATGATTAAACCTATTGCTCTTACCATGTATTCTGTATCACAGCAGAAGAAGAGAATTATAATAATGTGTGATCAGAGGAAATACAACAGTGTCTTAAGAGTTATGGTGGCGCTGTGGTTAGAATGTAGTATTGCAGGCAAATTCTGCCCACAGCCAGGAGTTCGATCCTGAACAGCTCAAGGTTGATTCAGCCTTCCATCCTTCCGAGGTCAGTAAAATGAGGACTCAGATTGTTGGGGGCAATATGTTGACACTGTAAACTGCTCGGAGAGTGCGGTAAAGCACAACGGGGCAATATATAAGTCTAAGTGTTATTGCTATTTATATTTTCATGCTCATCTGAGCCCATGGCAAGTACAAAGTGAAGGTTTTCTCCTTCTTAGTTGTCAGCACATGATTCGTTACTGACATTCAGCTGTCAAAATGCTCTGGAAATGGTCAAAGCCACAATATGGCAGTAGATGAACATACCAATGCTAGTAATCCACTAACCTTAATCACAGCATAAAGTATGAACAATATTTAACGAGTTACTACAATCTGTTTTAAAACATGTACTTTGATTTATTAAGGAATACATATTTCCAAGAGTATAATGCTCTCGTATAGACTGCCCAAGGAGCATAGGTCTCAAAGAAGATCAAACCTTAGGAATGTTTCAGTCGAGAAAAGATCCATTTTGGATTTCATAAAAAACAGATAACATTCATAAACGGAATAAATAATAAATATTTATGAAACTTAGTTTAGGCAATTGAACCAGGCCTTCAGCAATTTTTTTTTTCCTACAAAGAGGGAGGGAATGGCATTGTGATTATTCATTCCATTAGGGAGAGAGTATCAAATCCCAGCTGGAAGGTTAGGCAGCTGACCTTTAGCATATCTCAGTGCAACCTGCAATACCACAGCCTTTGCTTTTAGGCAAACACAGCATGAAGAATCCCACAAAAAGAAAAAGAAATATTGAATGCAGCTGTATCTTCCAGAACAGAGTCTGTAGAAAATTTGGCTAATGCCAGATGAGATTCAGACTCCTTTTTTCTATAATCTCCCAGGTGCCCAACCAGCATTCTCAGAAACCTAGACTCCCTACCACCATTCTTCTTTTTACAGAAGCTAAACAATTTCAGAAGAGTCATAGACATTTTAAGAAACACATCTTGGAATCCACTTCTATAATGACATCTACTGTAAATGTTTCATAATGCAGTATTCCATTAGCAAAACAAAACCCTTGCTCCTTACCCTGAATTACTCATTCCCTGGGCATCTACATTTCCCAGATACAGCTCTCAGAATAGGCCTTAATGCCATCCTCATCTCAAAAACTTGCAAGCTGGAAGCTTATGTTTACAGGTACAAAGATCATTTCCTATTGTTCACATGATCTATTTATCTATTCCACTAAGACGTGGCTAGTTATACCGTTGGAAGAAAAATATTTTCACGAGGAAGGCCTAACCTTGGAGAAAACATTGTTTGTAGCATAATTTATATCAGGCTCAGATGGCCTTACGATTGAAGGTATTGATACTTTACAATAAAATGTATAGGATCTTAACCCATAAGCGTAACACTCAATTTGTACATTTTATACCTAGGTTTCAAAACATTTCTAAATTCTAATAATTCAATTAATTAGTCACTTGAAGATCAAATTCAAGGTGAACATGTGGGCAAGCTTGTCACTCTTTGAACATGAAGGATTAACATCTTTAATCTTTATCTTTAAATTGGAAGATTATGTATGCTATCTACTTAAGATATTTAAGAAGCCTTACATTGTGTTCAGTGGGCATGTTTTCCTATCACCAGTAATTTTCCACTGCATTGTTCCACTGCATTTCAAGAGTAACCACACTCCAGCAGTTGCACTTTATTTAAAGAGATTTCTTTATCATTTAACTTTATTACAGCAGGCACAGCCTGGATGCCGTTCGAGTGACAAGGACTATTTCCTTAATTACTGTACATTGATAATAGCATTTACTCTGGCAACCCCAATGCTATTCAATCAAGTGAGATTCAATAGGAAAAAAAAGCTGATTTGCCAAAAGGAGGATGAGCATAAATGCCTGCCATCATATTCTATTTTTAAAGGTAAAGTTACTTCTTGCAGAATTGTTATTAAGAAATGTAATGCAATATTCTTCCGAGTTTTGTTCTAAAAAAAACAACGCGTCATCTGCCCAAGCTAATGATATTTTCCATTACGTATCTCCTCCTATCACCTGTTTAAAAATATTTGATCCCATTCTACTTTGAAAAACAATGGGGGGGTACGTGTTTCTTATCTTACCCAGATGTAGATTTTATATTTATTGTGTCAAGTTTTTCTCCCTTTAATTTTGTATTGCTGCACTTAGTCATCGCTTGATTAAGTGATGACTAAGGGGAATGGTTTATAAAACTGAAATTTTGCAGCAAATGTAGTACATGCTGAAAATGCCGACTTCAGCGTTACACACATCTTTTGTTAGAAGGTTATGGAGGACATTTAAATATAAAGGCAAACTATGATGAGATCAAAGCTCATTAAACAAACAAAACCCCTATAACCGTGTATTAAATTACTACAGGAAAAAAGAAATGACCTATTCTGATAACTAATTTGAGTTCAACGAGACAAATTACTGAAGGAACGACAAGGCTTATTTTCCCCTAGTTTCTTAACCAAAGAAGCAGAAAAATAATATACTTTATGCCTTTTTCTTAAAGTGAAATAGCATCTGTGCACGTGAAACACCATAATGCAGACACGTATATAGTAGCCTGAGACTGCTCTAGTTCTACCTTTGTTTGCTTACAAGAGGATAATCAGAGATTATTTCCATAACAGAAATCTACTAAAAAGAATCCATGTGTGGAATACTTTTAGTAGCAGCAAACCTAAGCTAGGAGTTGCAGAGTATTCAACATCATTTTTTAAAGGGCTTGTAAAGTGGATTTGACTTTAAACAACAGCTAAGATTTTCCAAACTGACAAAAGTGACATTACCAATAACCAGTGTGGTACAGGGACACAAGATATTTTATGATTGGTGAAGTGACATATATTTATGTTTAGATTCCTCAAGAACAGCAAGATAAAAATGCTACAAATATTTAACTCCAACCTGGGAAAAGAGACAATGATGTAAATGTTCCTAGGGAACAATATTCTTATTCTTTTGAAGGAGGTGAGCCAAGACACTTAAGCTCTGGAGAACCTTTAACATAGGAAGCTATTTATCATAACAAGCTTGGTTGAGACTGCTCCCCATACTGAACCAATTAGAGAAGCTTATTTCGTCATACTTCATAACTCGCAATGATAGGTTTCCAAGCCTGGCGCAGTGCAGTAATTGAATTTTGATCAAACACACATGGCCCATAACCCACTATGCGAAACTTTCAGAACAGTTCACAGCTTCTAAATATCCCATCAACTTACTGCCAAAAGTACAGAATGTACTTGATGTGAGGGAGGGAAGGAGTGAATGAGCTGGAACCTGGTACATCTGCACAACAACACATTCTGGTGTGTGATTTCTCCTTTTCAAATAGCAGTAGGGAAAGGGACGTTGAGCGATGAGGTAATTTCTTCCTGTTTTTCCCTTTACATCCACACACAGTTTTCAGTTTTTGTACAACTTGTATAAAGTCCTTTGGGCAGTAGGTCATGACGCCTTCATTATTAAAAGTCCATCTTTTGCTTTTATTTATCAAATAATTTAAAAGATAAGTCACTGTCTTCTTTTCAATAAGGTTACAGTTGGCGCAAAGGCTCTGACGCCTTTTGTAGGATCAGCAGAGCGCATTATAATATAGCCTACTATTTTTCCTTTGTGCACAAAGAGCTGATGACAAGAGTTGATGAAACTTCTCAATCGTCTGAAGACGGTCCTCTTCCGTCATTTCATACACAGGCATCTTCTCACACTCAAATAAAGTAAGTGAACTCCTGGGGGGAAAAAAAAGATCAGCCATAAAACGGGTGCATAGCCAAAGTACAAGAGAATACATTTAAAGCTTTCCTCCTTGGCAAGTAACAACAAACAACAACAATAATAAAGTTGGAAGGGACCTTGGAGGTCATCTAGTCCAACCCCCTGCTCAGGCAGGAAACCCTATACCATTTCGGACAAATGGCTGTCCAGTCTCTTCTTAAAAACTTCCAGTGTTGGAGCATTCACCACTTCTGGAGGCAGGTTGTTCCACTGGTTAACTGTTCTAACTGTCAGGAAATTTCTCCTTAGTTCTAGGTTGCTTCTCTCTTTGGTTAGTTTCCATCTGTTGCTTCTTGTCCTGTCTTCAGGTGCTTTGGAGAATAGCTTGACTCTTTCTTCTTTGTGGCAGCCCCTGAGATATTGGAACACTGCTATCATGTCCCCCCTCGTCCTTCTCTTCATTAAACTAGACATCCCCAATTCCAGCAACCGTTCCTTATATGTTTTAACCTCCAGTCCCCTTATCATCTTTGTTGCTCTTCTCTGTACTCTTTCTAGAGTCTCAACATCTTTTTTACATTGTGGTGACCAAAACTAGATGTAGTACTCCAAGTACACAGAGCACAGCCCAAAGGTTTAGGATTGTACAGCTTTATTCCCCCTTGCAATAGCAAAATAAAGGACTGTTATTGAACAGCAGTTGTACCGTATTAGCAGTTGTACCGTATTAGCAAGGAGGAAGGTTAGCTTGTCTTCAACTTTGTTTTCTCCTTTATTTTACTGTGTAAGATTCTATACTCAGAAAAGTTACCATGCAATGGACACCCAATGGAATTTTCTTCTGACAATGTCACCACGTACCTCAAACATATTTCCACCCAGTGCTCGCAAATCCATAGTTCGATAACTATGTTGGATAAACGTATTTGTTTTTCTTCCTTCCTTATGTCATTGTCTATAATCTAAGGCAGTGGTTCTCAGACATTTTGGTCTCATGAACCCTTTACCTTCTTAAAAATGCTTGAGGATCCCAAAGAGCTTTGATTTATGTCAGCTATCAATATTTGTGTGTCTGGTTGTCTTTGAGTCCCTCTTGACTCTTGGAGACTGTCTGGATAGGTCCCTGCAGTTTTCTTGGCAAGCTTACAGAAATGGTTTTTCTACTGCTTCTTTCCTCAGGCTGAGAGAGTGACTGGCCCAAGGCCACCCTGGCAGCTTTGTGCCTATGACAGAATGGAACTCACAATATCCCAGTTTCTAGCCTGATGCCTTAAATGCTACACCAAACTGGCTTTTTGATATTTACTATATTAGAAATTAAACCGAACAATTAAAAAAAATATTTACTTTATTTTGTGCACCTCATAAAAGGGTCTTGGAGACTTCCAAACTTTAAGAATTGCTGATCTAAGGTATATCTACAGTGTGGGATCCTTAGTACTCTCTGAGCTTGGTTGTTTTTCTGCAGACATTTCATTGTCAAACTAGGTAACATAATCAGTGCAGCCCAAACAGCCAAGCTCAAAGAGTACCAACTCCACAGTTCAACCCAGAGCCACTATTAGTCTCTTCTACTGGTGTATCTACAATATTTAAAACTACTGCCTAAACTTGATATGCTAGATGTGAACTGGGACATTAGATACCTCAGACCACCTTCTTTGAACGATACAAAAATACAATGCAGCAGTTGTAGAATCTCACTTTAACCGCTGGAATAGAATACTCCTGAATGATGTACTTTTGTTCAGCTTTCAGTTGTTTCACACACTAATTAAATGTTACTTATTTTACCCCAATTACAAGGCAGAACTTAGAAGGCCATGTGTCTGCATACCTGCCAGACACAAAGAAGTCACTACCTTTAACAGAGCAACTTATATAAAGAAACCTCATGACATGATACCAACCTATCTAAGTTACTAAGTTCTATAGAAGTAATATAAACACATATTAAACCTTTTTCCTGTTTAACCTATGCATAAAAGGTAGAGCTGTCAGGACTAGCAGAGACATGTTTGTACTTAGTATAGAGATTATTTTTGGTTGCCACAATGTAAAAAAGATGCTGAGACTCTAGAAAGAGTCCCGAGAAGAGCAACAAAGATGATTAGGGGACTGGAGGCTAAAACATGTGAAGAACGGTTGCAGGAATTGGGTATGTCCAGTTTAATGAAAAGAAGGACTAAGGGGGACATGATAGCAGTGTTCCAATATCTCAGGGGTTGCCACAAAGAAGAGGGGGGTCAACCTATTCTCCAAAGTATCTGAAGACAGGACAAGAAGCAATGGACCAAAACTAATCAAGGAGAGAAGCAACCTAGAACTAAGGAGAAATTTCCTGACAGTTAGAACAATTAATCAGTGGAACAACTTGCCTCCAGAAGTTATGAATGTTCCAATGCTGGAAGTTTTTAAGGGATTGTCTGAATCATTTGTCTGAAATGGTATAGGGTTTCCTGCCTGAGCAGGGGGTTGGACTAGATGACCTCCAAGGTCCCTTCCAACTCTGTTATTCTGTTAAGCAAGGAGGCATGGGTTAGCGATACTGACATTTTCAGGTTAAACGTTTGAAGGCAACGGAACTGAGAAAGCTGTCTACATGAAGCATTTAAGTGGAGCACGTTTTCCTTAAAAACTGGTATCAAGAGGAGACAACATTACAAAAACAGACCAAAACCTGAGACTGTATTAGAAGAATACTCACATTATTTTTTGGCTGCGCTTCTGCTGGTAGAAAATAATGAATTGTGCAAAGGAAAAACATAATTTTTCCAATTCTTAGACGTGAACATATACTGTGGTTATAAGCAGACTGTGCTAGAACAATTACCATACTAAAAATCAATCAACTGAAAGCCAAACCTTTTCCCTGCTTATCATAAAACAAATAAAAGTATTTTTTTTTCATTTTTGTCTGAGGGAGAAGCTGAAAATGAACGTTAAGTCCATTGTTATAAACAATGTAGTTCTCCTCTGTATAAATGTACCGTTGTACAGCCATATAAACATCCAGTTCTGAAGAGGGATAAAGCAAATTTCTTCAGAAGAGGATTTACACAGCAATTACATTAATAGATTATGATGTCTAGAACTGTCAAACACAATTTAGGAACATGACGCTTCATATGCAACTGCTGAAACTACTATATATTTTCTTTGTTTTCTGAAGGATTCCGCAAGCAGGCACATTCTTTTTTTAATATATGCAATGAACTGTTAAACACACCACTTAAGCCTACATAACCTCCCATAAAGAATAAGTAAGAAATCCATAGATAGCTCACAACATTTTTAAAAATCAGATGGATTGTATGTAATGTTATCATTGAAGCAAAACCTAGGAGTAAAACATTCAGAATTCACAACTGGAAATTTAAAAAGTTCAGTTATTTGCTTCCTACTATTAAAGCCTGAGCCTTGAGTGAGAATTTGATTTAAACAGAACTCTTTTGGTCTTAGTGATCAGCGCGGGATAAAAGAGACGTTGCTAGTGAGCTGAACAATGCAAATTCTAAGTTATACATACAGTATATGCCTATAGAACAGGGGTGTCAAACTCAATTTCACTGAGGGCCGCATCAGCATTGCGGTTGCCCTTGGGAGGCCGGGTGGGTGTGGCCAGAGTGGGTGCAGCCTACTGGGTGGGCGTGGATGGAGTGGGTGTGGCCTAGTGGGTGAGCATGGCCAGTTCTACATCATTCGCGTCAAGGGTGCCTGTGGGAGCCTGGGCAGGAGTGGGACAGATCTGAGGGTCTCTGGCAGAAGGGGGTGGGACCGGGGCAAGTGCCAAGGCATGGTGCCTCAGGGCAAGTGTCAAGATGGCCATCACAAAATTGTACATTGGCTCCCGGCTGGCCTGGGCCAGGGCCAAGGCAGCGGGGGCCGTTCCCTCACTGTTTCCAGGATGGCTTCGCGGGCCACATGAAACCACTTCGCGGGCCGCATCTGGTCCTTGGGCCTTGTGTTTGACATGTCTGCTATAGAAAATAGGAGACCTAAGTATGAGGGAATCAAACGAAACAGTTTTGCTAAAATACATTCTGCAGTTATTCCTTGCCCATAAATGCTTATGAATCCAAATATAGCCTAATTAACTAAGAGAACATAATTAACATCAGGCATATCCACTGTATGGAAAAACATTCTTTCTTACTGTCTTCCAAACTACAACTCAGATAACTACAATACCAATATGGCTACTAGTAATGAGCAGATTCAGCCACATTATTTGGCATCCTCTAGTACCGTAACACCTTTATCCATTAACAGAATAGATAGATATGTACGGGTTTAATTATCGAAAATGTAAATGGCATATGTGGCGGTCACCTTATTCAATAACGTCAAGGTACAGTGAAATATTCTCTTTCCTGTCCACTTTTCCAGAGCTGACTCAAGAAGTAAACTTACTGCAGAAAATTGGGAAGCCATACCTAGCTTCATCTAGCACGACAGAGGAATCCTTTCTTTTATATATGTTTGAAACTTGGATCTCTACTCTCTGTCATGGTTCCGACAGATGAAACTCTTCAAAGAACTTCGAAGCATTGTTTACCTTAAAGCAGTGGTTCTCAACCTGTGGGTCGGGACCCCATTTGGGGTCGATCGACCATTTCATGGGGGTCGCCAAGCAAGGCTGTCCGCCATTTTTTTGTCCGCCATTTTTTTTGTCTGCCATTTTTTCCCCCTTTTCCGGCGGGTGCCTTACCTCCCATGGGCACCCGGTCGACCACCAGCCGGACGAGGCAGAGACGGCGAACGGTCGATGCGGAGCCGGCCGCGTCCCCCGCCTTGGTGCGTACACGCCGCGAGGGCCCGTCCCTTTCAGGAGCTGAATGCTGGCCAACCCATCAGGAGCTGAATGCTGGCCAAATCAGGAGCTGAATGCTGGCCAAATCAGGAGCTGAATGCTGTGGTTGGGGTCGCGGCATTAAAAAGGTTGAGAACCACTGCCTTAAAGAATCTTTATTCAAAAAGCATAACATTGGCACTAACATAATCGAAACCAAAAACTGAATCCCCCCCCCCGAGCACATAGTATCAAAGCACAATTCCCTCCTCCAATTAACAGTCATAAATCACATTCCCCAATTAGTTTAAAGCACGGGCTTTCCCTCCAGCTCTCCAGCCCGCCAATTCTTATCATCTCTTATTTCAACAACCTTGATTCTCACGCTAGGTCCAGTATTATTATGTCTAGCTGAACCCTCATGCACGTTCCCCCCCTCCCCAGCATCATCTAACTCTAAAAGCGAAAAGAAGAAAATGGCTACATCTCCATCTGTTGTCAAAGCAAAAAACATCCGATGTTAGCAGCGTTGACACTCTCACTTTTTCATGCCAACATTTGTATGGCTAATCATTTCCTGACCTTGATGTTTTCTGCCGCTTTCTTTTACATGAGAATCCGAGTCTCCCCAGCTTCAACCCTTATACCAAAAATGCCCTTGGAACAGGGGTGGGCAATTAATTTTCCCAAGGGGTCACATGACAACCTGGGACTGATGTGGAAAGCTGTGCTCACTTATCCCCAATGCTGCTGCCGCACTACCGATGCCAACACCGCCCCTCTGCTGCCAATCCCCTTTCCCTGACTGGGATGCCCAGGTCTGCCTTGGAAAGTGTGTCATTCTGTTTTATTTTTACAGATTTTACACAGTATAATCTAAGTTTAAATTTCAGAACTTGGGATAGACTGTAACATTCAGTGGGTTTTTGGATTGCCACTGAACGTTACAGTCTATCCCAAGTTTTGAATTAAGCTTTTAGATTATACTGTGCTGGCTAATTCAATTCATATTAATAGCGTGAAAAATATTACTTAAAATGTAGCTGCTATAACAATATAACAAATACCTCAGCCCACTGTAACAAAAAACTTACGTACACACTTAATGGGTTGAAGAGCTTTACTGAAATAAGATAACTATAATTAATATCTCATGAGTTTCACCACTTAAGTGCACATTCTGTTCCTGGGTGAAGATATTTATCACATTTAAAATACATTTAAAGCCTTTAATACACACCGGCAGTTATAATATATTTACTACAGTTGCCTTATCAAAGTAAGGTAAGAGGTAACTTTATTTTGAAAATATGACTACATGTTGAACTTAAACTATGTCATTTTTGCATGTGATAAAAGAGTGAGAAGGACCATATGAAAAGTTTGTCAATATAGATAGAAGAGGATTTTAGTTACAATTGCCTTGCAGTTGTACAATGTTCTACAATTGGAACATTAAATCAGGTCTTTAGGTATCTCGTACAAATGCCTTATTTAGTCTGAAAGCTGACAGCATGACTTTATACTACTTACTGTTCATTAAAGATACATACAGCATATTCTTTAGAGATATGGAGGGAAATAATGTTACAATCTTAATATTATATTGGGGCAAAATGAATTCAAAATAAGCCTGATGTCCTACAGTTAAAAAAAAAAAAAAAGGCGATGTGGTACTCAATGCTGAGTGCTGCTTCTCATCTAGACCCAGAAAAATTAACCCAAATAGTGATTTTTTAAAAGATTATACTTTAATTTTTTTCCCATACTAAACAATAGAAGCAACAGTAAAAGAATTTGTTTTGCTACCAGACTTCCACAAACAGCAAAAGAATGACAGCAATAATTTGAAAAATACTTCCCCAAAATACAAAAAAATCCCTACATATTTGCCTGAGGTTTTGTCCTTATGTACAGTACAAGCACAGAGCACATTTTTTTTGTATTTAACAAGCTGACAGCAAATTTCAACAAATGTAGAGTAATTGTTGCATTTGGAAATTCAACAGTTCAAAAGCCTAACAGTCCGTCTATATCTACATTTTTGAACCTGGCAGTTTTTCTGAAAAACACAGCTTGCAAAGAAAGGGGATGATGATATTACAATCAGCCATGAACAAAGTATTTAAAAGCAGCACTCAGGTTATCAGTCAGTCAGTCAGCTTTTTGTTATTTCCAAAATGATTCTTAATTTCTGAACACGTGTTTAATTGACTTTTCCCTTGTCTCTATCTACCTTTTCAGCTTCAGGCCAATGACAACAGGGGTGGATCCATGACTAGAGTTTACTGGCTAACATAGTATTTAAATTTTCAGGGTTTGGATAAATTAAAAAAATATACTACCAAACACAAAATAAAACTTATGAATATATTATCTTTTATCCTATGATTAAAAGAGTGGAACACTGTTTTGTGCACACTTTGGCTATATTTCACTATTTTGACAGTATAAATAAAAAATAAGGAGATTTTGTGCATGGAGGAAGAGTAAAAATGTTTATACAACCTACTAGCATGTGATTGTCAACATTTAAAATATCTTCTTTTTTTTTGAGTGACAAGGAAAAGGATCAACTGGATGATGTTTTCTTAATTGTGGTCTCTGGAAAGCAATTTTTAGCATTTTTGTGTTTTTAATTTTATATCCAAGATAGTGATTGAATACATGGGACAATGGACATCAGGCTAAATTTCAGGAGACCAGGAGTTTTAGTCCCCCCTTAGCCATGCAAGCGGGCTAGGTGACCTTGGGCCAATCTCTCTCTCTGAGCCTAACTTATCTTATAGGCTTGTTGTGGGGAAAAAAGGAATAGGAAGGTGCATTGGGTATTTTTTCTGCCTTGAGTTGTTTATAAAAATAATATAGGCGGGATATAAATTAAATACTGTAAATTGTCACTACCGTATGTTACGTTCAAAATCTAATTTTTAAAACGTTTCTTCCTAAATATGGACAATTTTATCTTGTTCACAGATGCTGAACAAGGATAAAACATGTTTTTCAGAATTGTTAAAAATCAAAATCAATTTTATCAGCGAATACATATCTACACAGGACATATCGTCTTCTTTTTATGTTATTGCCTATTATAAATTCACCTCCATTGAAAAAGTAATCTCTTGGATGGCTATGTATATTGTATAAGTGGAGAGAGCCACTGATCCTGACAAAAAGCAGGCAAGAACCACACTGAAAAGGCATTCAACAAAATCTTATCGATCCCTTAGCTCTTTCCAATTAAGTTATTTTTACAGACAGTTTCAGAAATCCTAACTGAAAGGAATGAAAGGAAACAGCTTTATTATTGCATCCCTCTACATAAAGCAGGGTTGGGCAACTATGGCAACTTTTTGACCTGTGGACTTCAACTCTCAGAATTCCTGAGCCAGCCATGCTGACTCAAGAATTCTGGGAGTTGATGTCCGCAGGTCATAAAGTTGCCATGGTTGCCCACCCCTGCTTTATATAGAGGGATGAAATAATAAAACTATTTCCTACACCTGGTATAAAATAATCTCTGTTTGACAAAAATGGCTTGATTGGTCAAAGACAACATTTTTGATATTCAGATTAAGGAACTTACTGGTAAGATTAAGGGTACATTTGAGGTTTTCTATATGTATCATTCGTAATACTCAGCCTGGTAAGCCTTGCACCATAATAATCTATTATGTAGTTAGAACCATCAGAAGGACCCACAATCTGGAAAAGAAAGTATTACATTGTTAAAAAATTTGTTTTAAAATACACACCACACACAGAAATCTTCTGCAACCTTCTCCATATGCACGATGTTGTATTTAATATGACTACAAAACAACTATAAAACTCATAACACGTATGAAATGTTCCTTGACGTAAGCAGACAAATAGCCTGTACGTGTTTTAAGGAAAAGGCATTTCCCCAAGAAGTTACAGGCTTGGAAAGACAAAGTGGGAGAGAGAGAATTTTGACAGAACGTTGGCTTTGTCTGTGTAAGGTTCCACAAAGTAGGAGAACCTGTAAAATATATTGATAATTGAAAACAACAGGCATATTTAATTCTTACCTAACCTAATTCTTATGAAATTGTTAATTTATCTGAGAAGAAGTTGCACCAATTTGCTTATAATTTGGGGGAATCACAGTGCCACAAAGTTTTGAGTTAAGAAGGAATTGTAACTAACAAGTTGGTCTAGGACCAGAAACCAAGGTTCGGATTCATTATCAGTCATTAAAGCTCTCTGGATTTTTCCCTTTTGCTATATTAAAAGTTACATGGAAATTAACTTCTGAGGTTATACATGGAATTTCAAGTACTTTTTTCATACGAAATATGGGCAAATTTAATTCCAAGGAAAAAGTATAAAAATGTGTAACACAAATATTCCATCAGGACAAAAATAAGAACTGATGCACTTCAACTTGTGAAACTGCTAGGAGTGCAACTAAAACTACTGGAGTTTAATGAACTTTTTAAAATCCTTTAAGACTTTGACTAAGAGGAACCAATATATTAGATCTGGCTTGTATGCAACAATAGAAACTAACTTTCTAATAAGCAGAAACTTTGTGCTAGCAAATGTTTCTGCTACATTTACACAAAGGAGGTTTGCATATGTAGGTACTTATTAAACATCCATTTAATAAAATATTCAAATATACAGTAAATGTATTTTTATGTTTTTCCGATTTTTACACATTCTTCTGAATATATTTTTAATATAAAAGGTTCTCTGATAATTTTGCAATATAGGAAAGCAACATAATGATATACGGGCAAGTTGATGTTTAAATGTCTAAATGCACAGAATGTGTATAGGCTTTTTCTTATCTAAAAACAAATCTAAAAACCATAAAATGTAACATTCTTCTGCAGTTCTTGTGACAAGCTGCTTTCAAAACTGATGGGAACATAAAAAGGCAATGTGGGAGTCAACTATTCATATTAAAAAAAAATAGTAATGTGTCTGAAATCTGTTGCTAGATGTCTAAGTGTATCTCAGACTTAAAAAAAGGACCTTCATACTGGATGTTTTGAACTTACCTGCATTGAAATCAAAATGAAGTCAATCAAACTACCAATTCCACAAAAGCCTACTGTGCAGAACTTTAACAAACCTGTGAAAAAAAGTTGCATTTATGCCATTGAGTGGATGTATTTCAGAGTATTACAGTTTTTAGAAAAAAAAAAACATTTTTTGTCACTGTAATGATTTATCTATACCCCTAAAATTATGAATTACCATAGGTATAGGGAATTTTTTTTACTGTTTCTGAATTAGTAGCTTCTTCTTAATCCATATACACAGAGAATCCTAAAGAAAACTATAAACCACTGAAGTTTCAATACAAGAATGAACCGCTGAAAAACAAAGGGCAGTCAAGGCAACTTTTTAACAAGCTTGAAAGAACAATGGCGATTCTTTAAATCGAATAGAAATGCCAACTCAATTTGTGGGACAGAGGGAAGGAAAACTTTGTTTGGTGAGCGGCTAATGCAGCAAATTGTACATAAGAAAGTAATTTATACATTTAACATAAATCAACGTAAAATAATTTTGGTAAAAGACAAGAAGTCTTTAGTACAGTCCTTATCTCCAAGATGACAGGAGATCCTTTCTTATTTCTAGCTATTAGGATTTATTTTAGGCTGGACTCCTAAAGCTTGTGGACATATGATACTATTATGCTATAATCTGCAATTATCCAATTAATTATAATAACAATCCATCTTGGCCTCCTCAGAACCAAGTATTAATAATCTGATTTGTCCAATTTACACAAAACTATTCTTTGCAGTTATCAGGCATATATATGTTTCACTTACCTACTGTGAGCAATAACTTCACAATCTAAGTAATGTGTCTCTGGGCAAAAAGAGCAGTATCAGACCTGTGAATATTTCTGCAACTAGGAATTCCATGGGATGCTTTTAGAATTAAATGAATAGCAGCTATGTGGGGTTCTAAATAGTCTTGGGATTCAGAAAGGGGGTAGGTTTAGTTTAGCAAAGGAAAACAGATTTGAATTAAAGTACTTCTTTATACAAACATCAAAACAAACAAAAAAAGGTAAGAGCCCGTAATTAGATGAAAACTTTATAAGCTTAGTGTAAACACAGCTGACTTTGCTTCCAACTTCAAAATCTTTTAAAAGTTCTCAACAAGTAAGACATCAGCAGCAAACCATACTAAAAGTACAAAGCGATTCAAAATGTGAAACATGACTGAAGTTACTTGAGTATCACACTGTAAGGCTGGCTTTCTGCTTATTTTTCAATCATTATGTTTAGCTTTCAGTCTAAAATAATGGAGCAGTGGCCCCCGTGAAGCTGTTCAGAAAAAAATATCTTAACATTTCTAACAGTGCTGCTTATTCTCCTAAGCAAAATCTGTACACAAAACTATATCATGGAAAAGGATAACCTGCTCAGAATTATGTCGTAGCAATTTTTATTATGTGTGGATCTGTCTTGGCTAAGCCTTCATAAACTTCAACCAGTTCAAATCCTGACATCCATTAGTGTGATCTTATTATACTAACGGAATTTCATAAGATGTTAATTTGTTTCTGGACACAATTCAATATACTATTTTGACTTTTAAAGCCCTTAGCTTGAGATGCAAGTGCTTTAATAGAATATCTGAACCACAGGAATCTGAAAAAATAAGTATATGTTCTCCTCCAAGTACCATCATATGAAATTAAACAGGTGGCTTTTTCTATGAACTCAGCCAACTATAAAAACTTTCTGCTAAGAAACGACAGCCTACCTTTTTTTATTCTATTTATAGATAAGACAAATCCTGTCTTAGTTACTATTTATTATTTCTGTACACAAATTAGTTTTCCTCTTTTCAAATTGCTGTTTTTTGTATGGAATCATCAAGCAACCAAAAATACAGCTTGTTGTAAAAGATTTTTAGTAAATAAAACTGGAAAGCAGTAAAACCCTTAGGTTAATTTTTAACTTAAGACTTGTGCTATATATTATTATGCATATATATATGACAAACAATTTTCTTTTACTAATTACTGACATCCAAATTATAAAAGGCAGGCACCAACAAAAGCACTAGTTTTTAGAGTTACACTTCTGAATGAAAAAGTATTCCATTTTGGATTTTCTAAGTATTTGCTGATCTTGGCCACTGTCAAGTAACATAGTTTCATATAAGGCCCAGTGATATAAAAAAGCCTAAGTGAACAAATAACACCAATTCTTGATGCTTGTTTCATTTAATGTATAAATTAAGTCACTGAAAGTTCCATGTCCCATGGAGCATAAGTAACTGTCACTTTAGCCTCATAGAAAGTTGCTGCACCTCTTTTAGCGACAAAACTAACAGTCCTGCAAAAATATTCTTCTTCTTCTTCTTGTGCCATATCCGTTATCGGATGTTGGTGATCATGTTGGCGATCCTGTTTTTATCAGCAGCCGCACGAAAAATTGCTGCTGAGTTTTGTCCAAACCAATCCCTTAGATTTTGAAGCCACGATGTTCTTCTTCTGCCTGGACCTCGTTTGCCTTCAATCTTTCCCTGGAGGATTAAATGGAGTATGCCATATTTTTCTGGATGTTGCATCACATGTCCGAAATATTCTAATTTTTGTTTTTTAATTGTTTTGATGATTTCCCTTGGCTTTCCCAGGCGGCTTTCTCTCATTTTGTTGTATAGGAATTCTGATCCATCCCTCCAATGAAAACAGTTTCAACTTAATACATTTGAGGATTTTCTAGTATGTGCTCATCTTCTCAAGTCATACTATATTTCTATGAGGTTTGGGTAAGGATATTTTAGGTTCAGAAATTGAGTTTCTTCTTCTACATCCATTGTCATATAGACGTCATTATAAGTTTGGGATCAGTCTTCTTGTCTGACTTACTTGTGTTGGGAAACTCCTAGCCAGGCAAGGAAGGAGGAATCAAGTGGGGATCTAGCCTTGAGTCCTTGTGCAGACTCAAGAGACTTAGGACTGATCCTCCTAAGTTCCATGGAACCTTATCTATTTGTTCCCAAGGGAAGGCAAATGGGCCTGAGACTTCTAAAATGTTCCATAAAAAGCAGAAATTTGTCCTTCATTCAACAATGGCAAACTCTTCAGCTCCTGAGGCAGCAAAGCATCTCCAAAACATAACACTACCACCTACCGCTACCATCACTGACAGCTGGCACGAATTTCCTATTAAAGAATGCAATGTTTCATTTGTGACATCCATGTAACCAATTTTGGACTATCTGTTAATAGAGTACTCTTCCATAAGTCTGGAGCATCATCCCTGTTTTTATTTGTTTGTTTGTTTGGCAGACTAAGACAAGTATCAATACTTTTAGTGAGTCGTGGCTTCTACTCACTCATAAATCCCACCTGATGATTTTCTTACGATAAAGCTATAATCATCAGTTTTAGCAATTCTCTATTTATATACCTCTAGGATCCACATGATGTTCTGATAATGTTCAGTTGTAAAAATATGGTAACTGAAAATCCCAAAGTGGTGGATATTCTTTCACAGTAGAATACTGCAAGAATCTATTTAATACAGTACTGTGTCATTTTCCGCACCTCCACCCCACAAAATCTGTTTCTAGCAAGCAGAAAAAATGCAATGGGTTAGAAGCTCATTGAGAAATTCCAACACAACACTCTATAATCTATAAGAATTCCAGATAGTCATAATATCTCAAACTTCCAGATAGAACAATTAAAATCCTTGTTTTTTTCCTTCCCTAATCTACAACACACTATAAAGGGTTTTCCCCCCCAATAAAAGCCTTATTGTATGGGGGGGAAATCATTTGTGATTTTTCACAAATAAATAGATTTATGGTAAGCAAATACCGCTAATATTTACTGGGCAATGTTTTAATTTTTCAAGTGCAACTCAGAAGGAAATCTAGAATAAATTATTTAAGATTTAAGATTTAAGATTTATTTCATTTATACCACGCCCTTCTCCCGGAGGACTCAGGGCGGCTTACAGCCAGTTAAAACAATTATACAAAATACAAATCTAAGATAAATTAAAAATAAATATTCGAATCGGCCGCACTACTAAAATTCAATTAAAACCAATTTAAAATTACCCCTAGGCCAGTCCTGCCTGCTGAAACAGCCAGGTCTTGAGGGCGCGGCGGAAGGAGGGGA